AAAGAATGTGGGCAACCACACTGGCTGCTAGCTTAATCATAAAAAAATTGAACTTTACTGAAGGATTAAGCATTTCTGATATTATTGCATTTGGCCCTCATCCCTCAGATTGATTTTAATTTTGGTCCGCTCAGCAAAAATGTTTTTTAATTTTGGCCCTCTCAGCAAAAATGTTTGGGCACCCCTGCTATAGATAAAAGTTGCTCCTGGCTCTTATCTGTCATTCAAGGACAAATCATTGTGGAGCATAACGTCTCTGATAATTATATAAAAGAAACATCCGACTAGCTACTAACAAATTACTTCTTTCACAATRATCTCAGTTTGTTGTTTTAGAATGCAAGAACATTTAAACCTAACTATCACCATAAGATGTACAAACTGTCCTCTACCCTGAGTTGTTTGAACTCACCCACTTTATTAACAAACTTTATTACTTTTTTAATCAATAGTTAGTTAAGTTTATTCGTTTTTTTCTTTAAAAGACAACATAAATTCAACAAACAACAAAAATACAAATGAATCAGAAGAAGAAGAAAAACCTTATATCTGCCCCTTTTTCTCAAATAAATAAATTCAATCAAAAATAATCTTCAGATTACAAAAAAACTGTATTTATTATAAAATAATAATCCATTAAAAACAAAGTATATCAAACACTGAATTAGAATAGTGCAGAAAGAAGAAACTGTCTTATGTCTGCCCCTTATTAAAAAAACTGTAAGCAAACAACTTATGCTTGAACATCTACAAATCTGAAAAAGCAAGAAAACATTTATCATCCTTCACATCCATTCACTACCAAACATTAAATGGTGTTATACTTTCCCAATACATTTAACTTTATTATCTTTTTAACATATAAATTGTTTTAGAAGTTTTTATATCATTATCTAGACCAGTGGTTGCCAAAGTTGGGGTCGGGACCCAAAGTGGGGTCCTGAAACATCAAGGTGGGGTCCTGAAAAGATTTTCTAAATTAATTACATTTTTGCCTTAGTTGCCTAAAATGTATAAATGCAGAATAATAAATACTGTAGTTACTATGCCCATGTTTAGTTGACCCGATACAAATGCTTATCAGCCAAAAATAGTTGTGGGCACAGGTCTCTGCTACTGTTATTTTGTGGGTCAAAAGCTGAAAAGTCTGGGAACCACTGCACTTCAGAAATTAATTTAAAGTGTAATAAAATAATTGGTGATGTAATATTTTTCCTATAATTATTACAAGAACACAAAATAAGTATAAATAAGTATTTATATTTGTGTAGCCTTTGTTTTTAGGGTTATCAACAAAGCTCATGTACTCAGACCAGTAATATTTGGGGTCACAAGTTTTTGCCATGAATATTTTGTGGGTCAGAAGATAAAAMGTTTGGGAACCACTGATCTAGACAATTCCACAAACCTATTCCCTGAATTGTGCTCCTTTAGACCAGTTCAAAGTGGAGGTTTTACAAAAATCTCCATTTCCTTAAGGTTATAGTGACTCTTTATTTTCACAAATTTTAATGTAATATTTGAAGATGATATTTTTTATGTGCTTTATACATGACTTGTAAAAGACTATAACCATGCTTTAACCATGTCTGAGTAAACAAAACAAAACAAAACACCTGTGACTTTTGAGCTTGGGTCACAAAAGCACAAATATTTCAGGAGCAAATTACAAACAGCAAAATGCTCAAAACTAGGTTTTCAAAATGTGTCATTTGGTTTCTCGTACAGTTTGTTAATAAAAGATTCATCTGGCCTAAGGGAATCTCAGTGTAAAGAAATAATGCTGAGAGACAATATTAATAGAAAATGTTTCAAGTAACAAAAACTGCAGCAAACAGTTTCTTTTCGTCCTTGAGATGATAAAGTTATCTCTGACACAATGGCAGTCTAATAATGAAGTCTGCAAACTGTTCAGGAGAAACAGCTTCAGAAACGTAGACTTACTTTGTAATACAGTAWAATGCTTACTTTGCACTCGTGCATCATTATTATAATGTCATCCCGTCTTTTTTTCTGTAGGCAATGATATTAGCCACCATCCTAGTTCTTTAAGTGATTGTTTCTTTGCTCCTGCCTGCTGTGTTTCCCCTCATTAATGCAAGCTATTCTCCATCACCCTCCTCTGTGAAGGGATTCATCTCATGCAGGMCACAGTAATCTGACAAGGAAGAAATTACTGTTAGCTTTCACAGCTAATTAAAGTATAGATGGTTCACCATCAGTAGACTTGACTGCATTGATGTTATCCTATTACAGATATTGGCTTTGACTGTAAGTAGTTGCACTTACAGTCACTGAATGCATTTTTTTTACATGTTGGGTTTAGAAATGTTTCTTTGCCAGTTTTCAAGTTGTCAGAGTCCAGCTGTTCTTTTTCTTTTTTTCTCTCTCTTACTGTAAAGATAAATATCTTGATCCCACTGACAACAAAGGCAGGCCACAATGAGTAATAAGTAATTTATAAAAAGCTTTAAAAACCAATAAAAATCTGCGCTTTGTAACAAAAGTGAAATCTCTCCTTGGTCAGCACCACCAGCAAGTGCTTATATGCAACGTTTTTTATGGTTTAATTTTACATACATTCTRTGGAACTAATATCATAATACATGAAATGAATGAAGCATTCATTGAAGAAATGCATGTTGCCAATTTACTTAAAAATAATTTGCAAATTGCTTTACATCTACTCAACTCAATTTAGTGGAACCAGCTGAGATAACTTGGTTAAGTAAATTCAACACTTCACTTTTTAGCATGCATAAACAACTCTTCATGATGCATGATGGTAATATTTAAATTTTGTAGTAAAGAAATAAAAGTACCATTTATATGTTTTGAATGTAACTACGTAAAAGTAAAAGTTACGATTGAAAATGGAAAATGGAAAACCAGTCTGGTTCAGAACCACTATCTTCTGAAACATTGACTCCAGACAGGAAATCTTCATCTTTTGAGTCAGAAGGTGAATCTGATATCAGACGTCTGCTGATTCTTACCTGCTTCCACTACAAAAGCCCACGTGTCACCAAAAGAAACTCTACTTCCAACAATCCCACCAGGAGTTTGAGCATCCTGTCAACTGGTCAAGTAAGGAATGATGTCACACATCGGCTAAGAGCTATAACAAACTTTCAGATTCACACCAAGCCAAGCTTACCTAATGACACATCTCCAGTTCTTGAAATTTATGTTGTTAAGCAGTACAGAGATTGCTCACCCAGAGGGGGGCGCTCTAGAAACTCATCCTATTCTGAACTAGTCAGACATCTTTTGATTGCCTTTCTCATACAGCGGGTAAAATAAGTATTGAACACGTCACCATTTTTCTCAGTAAATATATTACTAGAGGTGCTAATGACATGAATTTTTCACCAGTTGTCGGTAACAACCCAAGTGATCCATACATACAAAGAAATCAAACCATAAATGTCCA